GGATGGCTTCTCTGCACATCTCAGAATTACCAGTTGCTATAACGACAATGAAACTACCGACAGCTGGCGCCTCGCAAGGCAATTCTGGGAAGTATATGGTGAGCATCCGGCGGTAGGCCTGTGCGTCGAAAGGATTTGCCACGGCGTGCTGTGCTCAGCCTCTTCTACCAAAAGTGTCAGCAAAGCAACGCCTGGTGCCCTCTGTAGCAAGCTGCCTTCATGTTGCAGCTGGCAGAAGGACTAAAAAAAACAGCGCTCTACTCTACATATCTCCTGCTTACATTGCATCCCGCCGGTCTTGGTCATAGGCCCAGGTTTCTGTGTCAACTGGGGTTACACCACTGGTTGAAACTTGCCTCAGCTGGCCTTCCTGCCCTAAAAACATTCAGGCAGCCTCTTCTCCAACAAGCTCCTTGCGAGGTACGGTCTTTAGAACTCAGCCACGGCGTGCTGTACGGAGGGTGCTAGTGCATCAACTCTGAGAGCATCGAAATTTAGATTCAAAAAAGAGCTACCCATCAAGAAAGCACCGCAAGGAGGAGGAGCATGGGGCCCGGAAGCCGATTACTCAGTCTTGCCCTGCACACTTATAGTTTCCATGTCTCATGCAGTCTCGGGCATTGTTGGCGAGCCTTGCGGTTGCCAGGGCTCGTGACCACTCAGCTGCACCGGGCCTGTCCGTTAGGTTCTGAAATCGTCAAAAAGACATTGGCGAGGCAGGGTTTGGCCTTTAGTATGTGTATATATATATATACACTTATATACACATGTGTGTGTGTGTATGTGCGTATGCGTCTTCATCAAAGCAATTCTCAGAGCTCTCCGAAGTCGGTTGGTTGGGAAGCATCTGTGATCATCTGTGCCCTTCTCTTCATCATCATGCCATCCCCTCTGCCAGCACCAATCCTCTCTGCATTGCGTCACCCTCCGGCAAATCCTGGTGACAAAAGCTCTTTCTTGGACCTGGAAAATCATCCAATCCAACCGTTCAGGCTGCCGCCCGTTGTCTCTCGAAGATTTGGAAGCGGCAGTTGAATGCATTGTTCGAGTTTGATTTGTTAGACAGGGAGGCAAATGCACAGATCCAGCTGATGCCATCTGGCATGTAATTCAGACAAAGCTAAAGTCCTAGTTCGCCTGCCAGCACTTCCAGCGTATGAATCACGTGTTACGTTACGGAGTTTTTCCCCGCCGGGTGCCCAAGGGCCGCATTGCCTTGTCTTCTATGCCAAAAAATGGCGTGTGGCCCAAGCTCGCCATCATCAGTTTGTCATGGGGTGTCATCATCGAGACCTGTTTAAGCCACTCTTCGCATTGTAGTTGCAAAACTTGAGCCACAGCCATTTTGCATTCAAACCATATGAAACCCAGAATCATCCATCCTAGCAAGCAGCTTGAGGTTGGCTCCTGCCTTTCTGATTGGACCATGTGCGATGATACCATGCGCTCAGTTTTCAGCTCATTCCTCAACACCGACGCTGACTCCCTTTCAGCATGCAGACGCGACCACAGCCACGCTGACAGTGTGGAGATTTCTCTGCCACACTCCTAGCTTTACAACGCTGTCAGGATTTGGGTGGCCGTTTGGAAGTTTAGAGCTGCGTGGGTTGCCGGCTTTGGGTACACGGTGGCTCACATCTAAATGTAGACAGCTGCCCATCCTGAGGCCTGTAGTCCTGGGTGCCGCGAAAGACTGGGCAAATCTGCCTGTACTTTGTTGTCATCTTTATGACTATGTCTTTGCAGAGTCAGCAAGAATTCACCTTGCGCAACTTCTCTCACCTCAGAATCGGACGCACACTTAATTTGGAGTTGTTTTGTTTGCTTTGCTTTTTGTTTCTTTCTCGTTTGACTAGATGTGCTCCACGTAACACCAGAATTTCAAGCCACATTGCGAGGAAGATCCACGCAAGAGCAGGAGCATTATTTCACGCCCAAAAAGGACTTGAGCTCGACTTCAGACCCTATACTAAATGCGAAGACGCTCCACGCAAGAGCGCGATTGTTGACCGAAACGAGCCAAGATGCGAGGATGCTCCATGCAAGAGGTCAACTCCAAGCCAAGATGCCAGATGCCCCACATGAACACAATTTAAGGCTCAGAGTTTCATGGGATGCTAATCTGTAAGGTAAGTTCGCACAAGCATGGGGGGTTGGGTTCCCCCATCAAGCGACCAGAGGACCAGGAGGGCCAAGGGACCAGAAGACCACGGGACCCATCCGAACCAAGCCCGGGCCAAACGGCCAAACTGCTTAAACAAAATAAACTTGGCCCCGATGGTTGGCTCTGCCTCAACGCTTTTTGGCCGTGCTTAGCGGCCCTACAACGACAAAGCCTTGCACTGCGGCACAGCTGAGACCCAGCTGGAGCCTTCAACTTGGAAGTCACGCTACATGGAAGTCCACTGGGTGCAGGGGTTGCGCTATTGTTCAGGTATCGTTTGAGACTAATTTTGGCCAATGTCCTAAAACCTCACGCAATACAAAAGTAATCTGTGGCTTTTACTTCCAAATTCCAGACATCTTGTTAAATGTACAGTAGAGTAGGGAACGCAAGCAACAGAGAGCAAGAAGAGAAGACAAACGCAGAAGCAACAAACAAGCACGAAGCCAACACCTGAAAAGCAGGAAGCAACTGGCAGGAAACAAAAACTTAAGCAACAAGCAGGAAGCGAAAACTGAAAGCAACAACCAAAAAGCAATCAGGGAAAGCAATAAGCAGGAAAGCAAACACCAGAAGCTGACAAGTATAAAAGCAAAGAACAGGAAGCAACAAGCTGGAAGCAAAACGCAGAAAGCTAGTGACAGAAAGATGCAGAAAGCACGACAAGAGGCGGAGGGCAGGACAAGACGCAAAAACAAGAAGCCTGAAGAAAAAAGCAACAAACTGCAAGCAAAGCCGCAAAGCAGCAAGCTGCAGATCCAAAGAAACACAGATAACACTGAAAATTGCATAGCCCTTCTACTAATCTTGCACCTCTGAAGAAAAGGAATTTACTCACCAACAAATTTGCGGCATGGTGGATGTCAATGTGCCTTTTTGTGCTCCTAATGAGACGATGGCTTCATGCAGGCCTTGAGGCAACCTTGGCCAAGGATGGCGGGCATCTTGTGCAGCAAGGCCTGAGAGACATGGGACTTGCAGCCTTGATGCAAATGGCACACTTCAATGCACGCATGAAGCAACGCCACAGCATCCAGCCTTGCAAAGGGACGTGCGGCCGGAACTGGGGCACAACCGTCGCAAAGCCTATCACACCATAAGCTCATCTGCTTACCGTCCCCTGTGCACAAAACACCTTTCACCCAGATCATGCGTCGATCGTTTCTCCGTCCCTTGGCAGGCCTGGCTGTCCCCGCCAGCCGGCTTGGCATTCTTGTGGAACACCCCCGCTTTGCAATACCCTTGGTCGAGGTCCCTCCCAGCAGACTGCGACCGTCTCGATTGACTTGTCTCAGGGTGCCACGGGAGTGAATATCTGCTTCCTATCACTTGGAGTGCTGGCAAGTCTTGTCAGCAGCATCGTGACAGACACATGGCATGTAGTGATCTTCTGACGCCTGGCTGAGGTGTAGTACCGTAGAATCGAGTGGCAGATGCGGGCTCCTTGCCGCTGATTCACCGGTCGTGTCCAGATTCACTCAGGGGAAGGTGCTCTCTCAGATGTGCTTTGAAAGGGCTCATTGCATACAATGCTGGCAAAGCTGCCCGGCCTTCATCTCGAGGCGTCTCTGGCGTGGGTCCGGCAGATCGAGCTTCGGGCTTTGGAGCTTCGGATGCATGCGGTTGCTAGCACTGCCGGCAGCCGGCGGCGCTGGAGGGACCGGTCCCGGGACTGGAGGGAAAGGGCCCACAGAACAAGCACTGCAGGGATCAGGTGGCACACCGTGCTTTCCCAATGCAGCTGCCAGGCCTGACCACGATGACGAATTTGCTGTATGTTTGAACTTGAACACCTTACCAGGCCGCTGGCCTGGCACATCTTTCTGTACATCCTTGCAGAGGTGAAGACCAAAGACAGACACAACTCTCGAGTTTGGCGAGCAAGGAGTCTTCCACGCCAGCACAGCCAGTCCTCCAGGTGCATTATCCTCGGGAAACATTTGCTCGCAACGTGCTGTCCATTCAACTCAACGTGTCCCTCGGCAGTCTCCAGCCCAAGTGCAATTGCATCAGCCCAATCTCTTAGTGTCTGCAGAGTTGGACACTGCAAGGAAACTAGAGACTTTGCGGGCGGGCAATAGGGAGACTCAAGTGTGAGACTTGTGTACTGAATTTCTCTAATGAGGAATTCGTGCCTGAGACTCTGGGGTTGGGCCCAGTAAGGAGACTCAGACAAGGAGGATCAAATTATGTCAGCTCCAGCTGCGCGGAAAGGCTATCTGCATTGACCTACCCTTTTCAGTCCCTTCAGATCCTTCAACAACCGGACATCTGCTTCTGTAGCTGGTGATGTTGGCAGCGAAAGGCGGAGTATCACATCACTTCCCAATGTGACTGTGAGCAGAGTAGGCTGCAGGCCTCTGCGCCCTGGCTGCCTCCATGGACATGGCAGTGCCCTACCAGAACAGGTAGCGTTCTTCATAAAACAGCATGGACAATACATGATCAACCGCTTGAAGTCAGTGCTGCTTGCTTTGGCTTTGACATATCCTCGAGCCACTATGAGGTCGGCAGCTGGGCAAAAAAATGTTGGAAGCTAGAGTCAATCACGCAGTGCATGGCGGTGCCAGCAGTACAGATGTGGACCGCCATTACGTCTCACCGCTCAGGACAAATCTTAACGACCGCTCTGCAGCCACCTTCCGCTTTTTCATCAGCAGCTGAACTTCACTTTGGCAACGGCTGCGCACCATCATCAGGAAGGTAACCTCATTGGTGAAGACAGCTACGGACAGACCCGGAGCAAAAGGAACTGCCCAGCATTATGATGTCCGCAGGGCTCTGTGGCGTTAAAGCAACGAAATGTGGAAAATCAGTGCCGTGCAGTGGATCGATCTCATCGCTCTCGGCCCCGATCTGACCGCTCCCGACCTGGGATGTCAAAGGGGCATCGCGCCTACCTCCAAACCAGCATGTCACATAGGAAGCAACGACATGCATGTTGCCAACATTGCTCAAGCAACAACGGTAAGAAGACTGCGCGCTTCATGCGATGGTTTGGCGGCTGTTGCCTGCCAGGCTGCTCCAAAAAATGTCGCAGCAGCTTCCTTGAAGGTTTGGCTTCTTTGAACAGAAACAACAAGACCTGGTTTCGATCGATCAATTGCAAAGGCCTTGCTTGCGGCCTTGCTTCCAGTCGACTTCTGGATGGTATCCACACCTTGCGAATGCATTTCTGGCATGATGCTTTGCAGGTGCGCATCGCAAAATATTGCATTCTAGACTACACCACTCTTGCTCTGGCGCCTTGTATATCCCAAAGAGAGAAGTAAACTATTTGAAGCTGAAATCTGACAGTGAGAATCTTTGCTCAGAGCTGTACCGTACAAGCAGACATTTTCTTGTAGGCACAGCTCTGTGGGCATTGCCAAGAACAAAGGTGCGATGCTTCCCCCCACAAGCCGACTTGAACTGAACTGCACGCGGCAAAATAAAACAAAAAAAAAAAAGCATGTGCTCGTGCCGCTCTCACCCGCTTGCTCTTCTTCTCGGAAAGTTGTTAGTCTACCCGCAGAAAGCACAGCACACAAAGCGAAAATGCGCACAGAAGGCCTAAAGCCTTTTTTGTGTGTGCTCGCGTCTCTCATTCACTTGCTCCTCCCATCGCCCAGCATTCTCCGCCACAAAACAAGAATGTCAGTCACATCGCAGCTTCGAATGCAACATAACATGGTCCACAAGCTTCAAGCCGAGAACACTTTTTGCCATCAACAACAAAAGCGCAAAACCTCTGAAGACAAGAGGAGATTCCCCGTCGTGCTGCAGCGACAGTGAAATGGCGAACCACATGCAACCCTACATGTTGTACACTTATGACATGAAATGAACGAAGCTGCTGTACATCATTGTCATTCCTGCCTTGCGCTTCAGGAAGTTTGCCGGTCTCTACAATGTCATCGACAGCCCTTGGCAAGAAAGGGCTCAGCAACTGAAGAAAATCAAAGTTTTGAGTGCTAGTTGGAGCACCTCCTCACAATCTCAATTTGCTCCTGGGTAACAACCTGCAGGCAGTAGGCTTCTTGCTCTGGCTGATGGCTGGGAAGACAAGCGCATTCTCACAGAGGCCTCGTCTCCGCGCGGCTTTACAATGATGTGCAAGGGCTCCTGCCGACGGGCAGCTGAGGACCTATAGTCGATAACCCCGAGAGAAGAACTCCTTTCCCGTCCATTCCGTTCCTTTCTGCTCCTTTCCTTTCTCTCCCCTCCTGCGTGCCTCCCTCCCTATCACCCTCCCTCCCTGCCGCCTGCCTGCCTGCCTGCCTTCGTGCCTTCCTTTCTTCCTTCCTGCCTTCCTTCCCCACCTTGTTTTCTCTTCTTGCCGTCTTGTCCTCTTCTCTTGTTGCATCTTCTCATCTTATCTCTCTTGCTTCCTGCCTCCCTCCATCCCTCTGAGAGAGGATCCAAAGATGTGGAGCTTCACGTAAACGCTCAATTCAGGCTTAGACGCTTTGAGGGAGGGCTCGCACGAGAGTGCCAACAAAAAAGCAGCCTCATACAACGAGCAACCACGAACCCAAATGCGACAGTCGTGAGGATGGCGACCCCAACGCGGCCGATCCCTTTGACTACTGGCTGCTAAGAAGCCACGATAGTCCAGACTCGACACAAGCTATCGTTCATGGCCCTGTTGACCTGCAACCTAGATGTAAAGTTAAAACACGGCAACCACCCGAGCGGTATGAAGTTTCAATTTTGGCCACACGGCAACAATGACACAGGATGACGCTGACAATTGCCAGGACCGACCCCAGCCTGCTCGATGCTTGTAAATGTTAGCAGTTCCAACACGCGACCAAGATGCGAGCGTCCAAAAACGACGACAATTGCCGCTGCCACCGTTGGCAATTTCCACGTGCGAGTAAGATACGAATGTCCAAAAATGACAACAGTTTCCAGGATCATCAGAACCCCGACCCAGGGATGCCTGTGACTGTTGGCACTTTTGGGACGGGATGAAGATGCGAGGGTCCAAAAACAAATCTGCAGGCTGTGGTGACAAGAACAAAAAACTTGAAGCAAACATTTCAGTTCAGAAAATCATGCCGTGAGGGCCCACGTTTGTGAGGTTCGCAAAAGAACACTTCGAAAAAGTTTTGTGGGGGATTTGGGAGGCTCTACGGGAAGTTTCCTGCAACCTTCCATCCTAATCTCTCAGCAGTTTCAGCCCTGCGCACATGCAAGACATTGCTCCTCGGGGCTTGTGCCTGCAGCTGGAACATGCACCAATGCCCGAAGATGCACGAAGAAACGCGAAAGTCACGAAAGCCAGGCTTTAAGCCAGGTGAAAGCCGCTGCCTCCAGGGGCACCGGCTCCTCGGAGCTGCAGCCGGCAACTCGCCTATTTCAGGGAGTGGTTTTTTCCAGATCAGAGAAGGTCCCAGGTACTAGCCTTGTTCCTTGTGAAAGTAGCCAGACCTGTCATGGCCGATCCAGGCCTTCTTCATGATGGTGCGGATGTTGGACCTGCGGACCAAAGTCTGTCAGCTCACATGAATGGAGGTGGCTCGCGAAATTTAGCTAAGCGCTCAATTTCAACAAGCATGTCTGATTGCTGGCATTCCCTTTGTAATTTGATTTGGCTTCAGTGATTCCATGCTGGCACCGCAGTTTAGAAGGCTTATTCTCGCTGTTGCAATCACATGAGCGGTCGCCCTTTTAATTTGAAAGAGGGCCTACGGCTTTGGGCATTTCTGCGCCATGCGAAAGGAGTACTTGCATCGTTTCGTTTATTTGTTCCTCCAGCTCAGTCTGGTACATTAACTCTGCTTGTCGAGATTGATGGTATCACTTTAGGTTTTACTAGCGCCTCTGTTTTTACGCCGTCATGCAAATCTAAGCTCATTGCGGCAAGACTTTCCCCAGTCCCTTGAGCCCTAAGATCTATCCCTGTCGCCTCTCTGTATCTTTAAAGTCACCATGGCCCACCATGTCTTGCGCCTCCCCCCCCCCCCGGCGTGGTGTTCGTGACCCTTGGTAGCCCAGACGTTCTGCTGCCTATGCTGTTCCGTTGTGTTTTGCCATGCTGTCGTTTTGGCTGAGGAGTTTCACGATACAACCCTCGGCCTGACTGGTTCCTTTGGGGGCGGTTGGTTCCGGCGTAAGCCAAGCACCAAACTGAAGCCGGCTCGAAGCTTGCGAACTCACTTAAGGCTGATGGACTAAGCCCAGCCAACCCCCTCCATGAATGCTGCAACATGCATGCAACAAACAGTTTGAAGTGAGGCTTGCCTCCGTTACTCCCTCGACCCTAAACCCCACGTGTCAACCACATGCCATGACCTTTTTTTCGTGTGCTCTGCGCCCCGCCAGCCGAGGCGGGCGCGCGCTAGCGTTTATAATTAGGCATGTAGACCTTTTACTTTTATCCACCTTCAGCTACATTCTTCGTGCTCTGAATGGCTACTGCGTGGCCACACGTCCAAGGAGAGCACGCTCCAGGCCCGAGGATTGCCACATAGGCCTAGCGATTGACCCAGGAATGAGAAGTGCCGACTTCAAAGCGGGAGACTCTGAATGACTTGTATGGATTTAATCCTGGGACCATAGCAGCTCGCTGCTTCGCTTCGGGGCCATCACCCTCGAACTTCTGGAAAGGGATGACAACCTGCACTTGCACATGGTGTGGGCATGAGTCGCAGTCACAGCCCTTCCATGCAAACGTACATCGCCCGACCCGGCAACGGATCTGTGCATCCCCTCACTTGCTTGCACGACACGTTAAGATCCAGGTCCAGGTATCAAACTCGGCCGTAAATATGTGCACGTGTCGCCTTCACAACGACGTCTTTGGGATCGATTGGCTTTACTTCCAGCCTCGGCCATTCCAAAACAACTTGAGTCAACTTGAGGGTGCTCGCGGCACGGAGATGCGCGCAGAAAGGAGGCTGGGTGCTTGCACTTCTCCTCATTATCTCGAGGATGTCGAATCTCTGACTGCGCATGCCTTCGACCCAGCCAAGCAAAGAGCTCTGCAAGCCTGCAACACAGCTCACCAAACGCGCAGGGTTGACGCATAAGGACAGTCGTCAGGTCTGGGACATGGAAGGCCTTTGAACACCTGACGAGGATGGTGCCAAGCATGTTAAAATGCCGCTCAGAAACTAGACCGACAGCATGTTCCCCCACTGACCATGGCAAGTACTGCAATCACTGCAGCATGCCCTGGCCTCATAGCAAGGGCGCGTCTTGAATCGCTCGGGGGCTCGGTGGAATTCATCAACCTGCGACTCTGAGAGAATATCTTGGCGTGTCTTAGCAGCCTTAGGAAAGCACAGTGCGCAGTGCTCCCACTCACTTATTCTGTTGGCTTCGCAAACTTGGTGGAGCATGGGAATCTTTGTTGTACATGTGCTTCCACGGGAAGCCCAAGCAATGGATGGGGGCACAGGCCTTATCCTGTGCCGGCCACATGGTAAAGATACCGGAACAAGCCTTGAAAGAGCGAAGTGCCCCGCGGGCTTGCATTCGCAGGCATTGTGCTGACACATGCCATCGAATGCGCGGCCGTAGGCTTGATAGTGTGGTATGGCTTGCTAGGCTGTTGATGATTCCTTGGTCTTACTTCGGGTTGGTGACAGAGAACCAGATCCCAGAGAGCCCAACACTCATCAGTCTATGTTTTGCATATACGTCTGCACAGCATATGTATATAGATACATACTACATTTTTTGGTGAGCATAATATGTCTGCTTATTTTCGGGTTCCCCACTTACACGCCAGCAAGCAACATATTGACAAGCTTTGGGCAGCTTTGTGTGACTGATTGTGCTTCGCGTATTCAGCAGATCAAAAAATCTCGCGACGTGTTTGCGCAAATTGTTCGCACTGGCCGTCTGCAAAGCAGCTCGATAGATGGTCGCACCCTTCTAGGTTGGATTTTTTTACGGTCAGAAGTTTGTTATACGGTCAGAACTTCAAGGCCCGGAACTTTCAAAGGGGAAGTCACGGCTAGCCGAAGCTGGAAAAGCATGAGTCCTCAAGGACAAGCACAATTCAAAATACTCTTGTTTGCTGGCAACAGGGAAGCAATGCTGCAGGAATCATGGCTTCCAGATCACCCCCATTCTGTGTCAGGAAAGTTTGGCGAAGCCGACCTGGCAAAAAGTGCCTGGAGCTGCTGCCACCATCGCAGCAACAACATTTCTCGGGAAGAGCCTAGAGTTGCACACCATGACAGCGACTACAGGCCGTCGGCCTGGGTCCACGGTACATTAATAGTTGGAAGGTGGAGCCGCCTGAGATACAGGCTCTGCTCGGTTGAATCTCAAAAGAGATTCGTTACGAGTGCTGGCAGCCGTGGTGGGAAGCATGCTTGGCAAATTAGCTGAGAGCTGATGAGCAGGGTTGCACCAGCGAGTGAGTATTTTCTCGGTGGTGTCTGGCTAGTCTAGAGCAAGACACGCTCTAAGGTTTTTGGCGTGGCAAGTTGTCGCTGTTTTGCGCAATGCGTAGGTGGTGCTTGCGCGACAAACGGGCCCCCATCCAGTTCACTGTGACGGCTTGGCCTCCAGCTCATACCATCATCTCAAAGTCATTCAAGTGCGGTTCATGAAAAAGCTTGGTGCGGCTTATTAGGTAACCACATTTGTTTGAAGATAGGAGTCACGGGTTTATCATGAACGAATGAAGTGTTCTAGATTCTTTGTATCAGACTGAATATGTGTATACATACATGTTTGCGAGCATTTTTGTACCCTGCAGATTTTTCTCCTGTGGTGTTGTCCCTTGCCGTAAAGATCCTAGACCCAGGTAGAAGATGATAGAGAAGTCGGGTTGCGTAGTCGGTCTTTCAGCTCCGTCTTTCAGCTCATTGATCTGCATGGTAATCCCAAGCCATCATGAAGGATCACAGAAGAGGCGCCGAGTCTACATATCCATGGTCCCACGCGATTTCGCAGTCTTGTTACAGGGTACACGGCGGGATGCAATCTGCGTTGGGGCCTTGTTCGGGAAGGTGTCTTTGTTGAGATTGCCACCACTTTGTCACAATGTCAACCGCGTTTGAGCTGCTCTGGTCAGAGATACAATCACGACTTCAATCGATTGAATTCCCAAGCTTTGTCCAGGGAATGTCCGGGCGGTTTGGGGTTTGGGGCATTTAGCTTAGTGGTTGGCGGTCAGACAGCAGAATGGCCTCCTCACATCACCACGCGCAAGCATCACCCAACCACCAAACCACCCCCAACCACCCCAACCACCCCAGCCTCCCAACCACCTTGCAACCATCAACCCGATGTCTTGGAAGGCAGATATATTAGAACCGTGTAAATCTGGAGTGGCCAAATGGAGCTAAGGCCCATCTACAGTACAGCCCCAGTCGATTTTACATGATCCCCCAGCAGCGACCTCCCGACCGCCAGTCGACCAGCTTTACCTGGGCACGAAGCTCGGGCAGGTTCGGGCTTCACCCCCCAACCACCAAGCAACCACATCCCAACCTCCCACCCGACCACCCCTTTTTTAACCACCTCCCAACCACCAACGCAACCACACCCCCACCACCTCCGAACCTACTCCGGAAGGGCTTTTTGCCCAGCCTGTCGTGCTGTCCCTTGATTTGTTCGTGTTGGTCGCATGAGCTGCTACAAAACTACCATTGCAAAGCACTGCCAAGTCAGGAAGACAGTGTTCAAGGTGGACATAGTGTACTTAAACGCTCTCCCTGCGATGGAGTTCAGGGGTAGCGAGACATGTCAACGGTGCGTCTTGGATCAAGGTGCTGGTGGGGCTGGGTTGGGGGAGGCTTGCCTGCTCCCCAAATCCAGATCTGATACTGCACTCTGAATTCTAAAGTTGTTAAAGCCTCTTGAATGTTTGTTTCAATGGTAGACTTGCGATGCCCCTAGCCATGCAAGTGGCAAAACAACCTGAATCCAAAACCCTAGCGTGCAGTGGCTGCAAGGTGATGAAAGGCGTACAGCGTACATGCGTTCTTGTCCGACAAGAGCCAGGATTTCCAGGCAGTAGCATCGGAAGCAATCACGACGGGCACCACCGCAACCAGAAGGAGAGCGGACATCAGGCAAACGTGCTCAGAAGTCCCGTCTGGTTGAAACAGAAAAGAGGCTGCCACTGCTAAAGACGTGCTTCTTTTGTTGTCTTAGCAGGGAGATTAGGCCTCGGGAGTGGTCGGGGCATTCTCTCCCCAGCGCAGGCGAAGCTTCCGTCCTGAGGCTTGAAAGCAGCTGCTGGTGGCCACCGGTGCCACCGTTGTGAAAGACAGGCTCAGCCCTTGGCCCTTGATCTCGATGCCATCCACCTTCTTGATACCCTGCGCTCAAGGGCTTGGGGTCTGAAGTATAGAGTAAGACAGTTGACGTGATTTAGCTTCTCAACGGAATGGGACATCCTCAAGTGCGCCCTCCGGCGTCTTGAACTCCGCAAAGCCAAAGCCTCTGGAAACGCCTGCATTGGCAAGCCCTCAAACAGGCAAGGCAAAGGACTCTGCTGGCTGCACTTTCTTAACATCTGGGGCCCCATCTCCCCCACACTTGCAAAGCTTAAGACCTAGATAGGACCTAGATGATAAAAGTCCTGGCATAAGAGGCCTGCTCTTTTCTCCTGCCATCCCTGGACATTGAGAAGCATGAGAAAGCTGCTCAAAGCAAACATCCAAATAGCAATGTTCAAGGCACTTCTAGAGAACTTCTACATGAACAATTCAAGACTTCAATGCCAACCCATTCTCGCCCCACAGACAATGTTCAAGGCACTTCTAGATGAATGTGCCAAGACTTTTAGTCCTTAAGTTGCTGTCGGACATTGAGAGTCGGGCCATCTTTCTGGATGGAGAGCCTCCATGAGACCAAGCCCTCTATGTCACCTGGCGTGACGCAGCAATTGAGAGAGTCACGACTGTCTTCACCCTCAGAAGATGAATTCGGGCCGCCACCAAATAAATCCCTGATCTCTTCCTCCGTTGTGTCCTGCAGCTGAGAGATCTACATGATTCTGCCTGAGCACGCTACATCATTATGACGATATGTGGCTAGGTTGCAGACGAAGGAGATGTTGCCCACAAACACAGGCCACACCTGGGAAGGAACAGGCTCAACAATTCGACAGGTTTGGACAAAAGACTTGGGGACACTCTTACCGCAATTCCACTTCCATGGACATCTGCTGGAGGTTGGCTTTCAGATGGTAATCTGCAGCCAATGATAAAAACAGCGACTATATGTCTGGGGTGAGTGGCATCCTTTCGTCGTGGCTCCAGCTTCCTTTTCTTCTCGGCCTCGCCTGGGGCGCCTAAGGCCATCAACGAATTCACCAAAGCTTTGACGAAAGCACTCGGCACCCAACCGGCTTGTGGCCTGACACAGGAAAGCATCGGCATCCGCAACTGACTGTACACGAACCCGTTTTCCTCGCCTGACGTTGAGAAACACAAGGCCAGGCGGGAGAGAGCCCGGAGTGGAGCCAGGGCAGCCAGGCATTGCACCAGGCATCATCAAACCCGGAAAGACCCCCGGGGCTGGAGGCGGACCGCCCGCGCCCGTGCCGCCAGGCACCTTAGTCAAAGAACGATGCCAGCTTTGCTCAATGCCTAGTCCAGGCAAGCTGCCGGTAAGAATCCGGGCATCGAGGGACAGCCGGCACAGCTGCCTGCCACCACCCAAGCCAAAAGCCAACAATCTGCATGCAAACATGCAGCCTGGCATCATCATCAGCGGCATCCCGCCCGGCAGGCCGCCCGGTAAGCCTGGAGGGCCTGGAAGGCCTGGCAGGCCTGGCAAAATGGCGCAGCTTTCGCTGCCGTCGCTAAAGATTAAAACCTTGTTTTCTGCTAATCCTAAAGTCAGCTGCCTGCAGGGGGCGGCGGCAAGCCAGCCACCTGGATGCCACATGCCATGCCCAAGTTGAGTTCAGCTGTGCAGCTGAGTTGCGCTGGGCAGAGGTGCAGACCTGAACAGCTGAACGAAGTTGCCCAGCAACACTAAGGTTTGTAACCCCGGGGACACTTTCTAGCATCTTGATCCTGGTTCTTGCCCAGCGCCTACATGGACCATGTACCGTTTTGCAGGTAATTATGCACCAACTTGAAAATCAAAACGAAAGGTCGCCTGTTCACGGCAAGCCAAAGTGCAACCACGCATCTCTGTTTTCTTCTGACAGCAGGTATGGACAAGCGCATCGTCTGCGGTCATGTACCTTTCCTGAGCCCCCGACGGAGCGCCATCCATTACCTGATATACCTGATAGTGGGGCTCTCATTTCATCACCATCACCAGAAAGGTTTTCAGGCCATCTGCCAGACTCCAAGCTGAGCTTCAAACCTCCTCACGGAGCCAGCTGAGGAGCGGAGTGCTTTCTTGTAGCCCTCTTTTTGAATGTGCTATCTCGTCCCTTGGGAATACTGTCAAGTCTCTGAGGGATCTAGCTGCTAAATTGTAGTGTAGATGGCTTCAGGACAGCTGCCCAAAAAGAAAATTGCTGTTTGCTGCATCGTCTAATGCAGGCTTCATGTACCCAGCGCCAGGTAAATCGTGTCTTGTGGGGGGAGGGGTGTAGCGTTACAGGTTACAGGCTCTGCTGGGCGCTCGTTCCTGCTGAATCTACTTGCTCTACCTGCAGAGAAACATGAAGACATGCTCATGCCTCACGACTGTCGCAGCAAGCTTGGAATAGGCTGTAGAGCTCAGAGCAGATCCAGTCTAAATACTTACCAGTCAATACCAGTAAGCATTCTCCTGCACATCAAGATTTGTCAAAGTGACTGAGTGTGCAGTGAACGCTTGTGCTAGCTTGGGAAGGCTTTGTAAGTCTTCCAGACGACGTTTGTGATTCCAGCCCAAGCCGCTGTGACGGTTGACGATTTTGGCGCGCAACAAGATCCCAGCGTCCAAAGCGGCGATAGCGACGAAGATTCCGACTTCGACTCGTGGAATTCCAAGATTTCCCCAATGTCTTCTTGCGGCCACTTGCTTTGGTGAATTCTGGTCCAACAGACTGACTAACGATGGGGGTGCTTGAGGCAACATGAGGCACATTCATTACGGCTATGAAACTTTCTGGGCGTGAATTTGCAAGGGGCAAACTGGAAATATCCCTGCCCGGCAGAAACAAACATGTCCCCTTAGACTGCCTTAGACTTCAGCGGAAGGTTAAGTGAGGGATCGGAGCAGCCACAGCACTGCAATATGCGAGTGCAGCCGCGGACTCATGCTCTGAAAATGGGGACCGAAAAGTCAGCAAATTCTGCCTTCAGCTCGAGCATCCACCAAGCGCAAAAGCCTGCGGCTTCCGCCCGTTTCAAAAGCATCTGCTGCAGTCAGCGCCAATGCACTATGGAATCGACACTTCCAGAATTGGCTCCGCCACAAACAGAAATGCTTCTCAGCTTTTCGGGTGAGAGCAGATCTTCCCCGGCAGCCATGCAACAAATAAGAAGAGCATTGCACAAACAAAACATTGCACAAACAAAACAAGACACTGCAGTCCACTGTGGCTGGCCGCAGGCATAGGCAATGCAGGGTGGCAAGTAGAATGTCCTAGCATGGCAACAACTTGCGGTCGGACGTTTCCTTTGTGGCTCTCATATTGTTGCTTAGAAGTCTTGCTCTATTCGGTTGGCAGCTAGAGCCTGTGCGATTTCCCTTCTTCTGAAGGCACTCCCCTCGGCGTGGGGTTCACGCTGCAGAAGATGTTGTTTCAAACAAATGGGCGCAGCGGCGCCACTGTACATCAGCATCCGGGCCCACCCACCATTGCAACCCCAAGCGAAAGAAGACCTCCGAAGCACAAGACATGTGACGTAGGCTTCCAAAAGCCCAGGCTGCTGAGACCAGAGGAAAATGGCAGGACCCAAGTGCCAAGGCACGGAAGCCTGCCCTTCTGGGGGACACAGGCGCGCCTAGCTAACTTAGGTCTGCCTCCAGTTTGGCCCAGCTGCGGATAATGATTGAGTCTGCGCAGCCTCAAGGAAATAAGCTGAACTTTGCTGTTGCCCTTTAGTCTCGCTGCCGGTGCGCGTGCGCGTGCGTATTTGGTACAACCCCACCCCATGCCCCATCTCTGAGACGGTGCCCCTAGCTTAGCGCCCTCTTGAGGAATCTTGTGTTCCCGAGAAGTGGGCCGTCTTGCCAAGTGCTCAAATTCAACCCAAGCTGCCCGGCCTGGGGAGGCGTGGCACCTTTCCCTTCTCAGATTGAGGGGCCCGGAGCGTGGAACTCTCGCTGGAT